AAACAGTTTTCTGGGGAAGACTTCACTTCTTTCACATTTCCCTGAAACTTCTTTTGGGCTTTGCTTGGGCCCCTCTTGGGCACATCAGATTTCTTGGGGTTCTGGACTAGATCAGGGTGGTCTTCCCTGAATCGAGCCAGTTTCTCCTCAAACTCCTGTTTCTCCTTTTGGAAATCTTGACTATATTTCAGCTTCGTCTGCTCTGGGAGCTCCCTGTACTCCTCAGACAGGAGTTTGGTCAGCTCCTGGTTGCTCAGCTTGGGGTGCATTTGCGAGTACTGGGCCCGATTCTCCCTGAAGAAGCGGAGGTAAGTAGTCAGGGGCTTCTTGGGGAAGTCAGGATGTTTCTTGCGTCTTTTGCTTTTGGAGAGATTTTTAGCATCTTCCTTAGCTTCCAGGACTAATTCTTTCAAACTGCGACATTTTCTCAAGTTATAAGAAATCTCTAACCATTTGTGTTTGCACATTTCTCCAGAAAAATCTTTAAAAGCTACTTTTCCCCAGTCCATCTGTGACTGGGTGGTTCTGAATGTGTGTCTATCATTGGATGGAAGGTTATTCTCCATGCGTTCCAGTAATTTCACAATGTCTTCTTTGCACCAGTGGTCTTGGCTTTCAGGCAATGCCATTTCTGGGTCTTTGGGCCACTTATATGGTCCCAGCAGTTCAGACACCTCCGCAGGATCTCAAACTTCTTCACTCTCAATACTCAGCAGGTGAGTAATTTCTGGAAGTCCTGCAGTGTGTGTGATTCTATGGTTCTGAGGAGAAAAAGAAGGAAAGTTAGTCTGTAATGTGACAAATGAGAAAATCACACCCTACATGGGATATGTCCTTTCTATAATTTACTACTCTTCATGACAACTAGCCCAACTTCTGAGTTGAGATTAATGTTGAGCATTAACACGCTTCATTTACACTATTAACAATCTTCAATCCCCATCCTAGCATACTTTCCCATCAATCTCACCACAGCTTGTCTTAACCACAAATGAGCAAAACAAATGACCAGCAACTCACTCAAGAGACATAGGATAAGAGAAACGGTAGAGAGTGAAAACTATTAAAATAAAATGGAAAGCCCAAAAAAGGAAAGGACTTTAAAACAACAATGAGATCCCACTACACAGCTATTGAAATGGCCAAAATCCAAAACTGACAGCACCAAATACTGGCAAGGATGTGGAGTAACAGGAACTCTCATTCATCGCTGATGGGAATGTGAAACGGTACAGCCATTTTGGAAAACAATTTGGTGGTTTCTTAAAACACTAAACCTACTCTTACCATACAATCCAGCAATCATGCTTTTTGTATTTGCCCAGAGCAGTTGAAAACTTATGTCGGGGTGTTTATAGCAGCTTTATTCATAATTGTCAAAACTATAAGCAACCGAAATACCCTTAGGTAGGTGAGTGGATAAATAAATTGTGGTACATCCAGACAATGGAATATTGTTGAGTGACAAAAAGAAATGAGCCATCAAGCCAGCAAGAGACATGGAGGAAACTTGAATACATATTACTAAGTGAAAGAAGCCAATCTGAAAAGGCTACATACTGTATGATTCCAACTATATGACATTCTGGAAAAGGTAAAACTATGGAGACAGAAAAAAGATCAGTGGTTGCCAGGGGTTGAGGGGGAAGAGATAGAGGGATAAAAAGATTAAGCACATGAGATTTGTAGGGCAGTGAAACTATTCTGTGTACTGTACAAGTGGGTACACATCACTGTACTTTTGTTAACTTTAGGTTGTACACAACCAAGAGTGAACACCAATGTAAACTGCGGACTTTGGGTGATAATGATGTGTCAATATAGGTTCATCGATTGCAACAAATATACCAGTCTGTTGCAGAATGTGACAATGGGGGAAGCTGTGTACACGTACATTGGGCGTGGCAGGAGGCATATGGCAATGCTCTGTACTTTCTGCTCCATTTTGCTATGAATCTAAGCTTCTCTAAAAAAATAAAGTGTGTAAAGGAAGGAAAGGACGCACTCCATAGGGCCCTGAGCAGAGCCACATACTAAGGATAGTCCAGATGGCCAAGATTGAATGTGCAATTGAGGAGCTAGAAACAGAAATGAGACAAGCCAAGGAGACCCTCCGGATGTGCATCCAACTGTGATCTCTTTAGGAGTTAGTCATCAAAATTTTATCCTTAAGTAAGTGACTGAGTTACAGATTCTTCTGTGCTTGTACAGAGGAATAAATGCTTTCTAAGCAATCATAATTTTTCTGCCTTTAAATGGCAAAGATTTAATGAGAATGATGGAACATTTCCTCTATTTATTTGGTTAACTATTACCGGTATTTAGGACACAGTGAAAGTTTTACTTCCCTCAGAAAACTCCCCACAAAATACCTGATACCTCCTAGAACTTAAACCAGTGGAAGATCTCATAACTACTATTTCCTCATGTCCTTTATCCATCTTTTCTTTTGTAATCTATTATCTCTGGTACATGACCAGATCACACCCCAACTACTCACAAGAACTCATTGAACAGTCTGTTTAGGAGACTCTTTTATTCTCAGACTAAGCCCACGCAGACATATTCTAAGAAAAAAGTGGAAAATTATATAAAATTGCCTTTAGAAATGATATGTGGAATATTTGGAATCCATATCTAGGGAGGAGGAATCGCTCTCTTTGGAATTATTCTAAAAGATATGATGATGTGTTTAAAGCAACAGAAATGGAAATGCCATTGTTTTGTTGGGGGCGCTTTCATGAGCCAGGCATTTTTCCAAATGTTTTACACTCATTATTACCCAATGACATATATGAGGAAACTAAAAACACTAAGATAGTTTATATTACATAAATTATAGAGATGTTCAAGAAAATATATTAAAAAATAAGAGACTTCAAAAAGAATCATTCAGTTTTTTTGAGGAATCTCCATACTATTTTCCACAGTGGTTGTACCAGTTTGCACTCCCACCAGCAGTGTATGAGAGTTTCCTTCTCTCCACATCCTCTCCAACACTTGCTGTTTCCTGTCTTGTTAATTATAGCTATTCTGACAGGCATGAAGTTATATCTCATTGTAGTTTTGATTTGCATTTGCCTGATAGTTAATGATGTTGAACATATTTTCATGTGCCTGTTGGCCATCTGTATATGGGGAGGAGGGTGAAAGGGATGATTAGGCACATGTGTGGTGATGGATTGTAATTAGTATTTGGGTGGTGAACATGGTGTAATCTATGCAGAAATAGAAATATAATGATGTACACCTGAAATTTATACAATGTTATAAACCAATGTTATCACCATAACAAAAGTCAAATAAATAAATAAATAAAAAGAACAATTCAGAAAACAGAAGAGATCTTTGTATTAGATATAACATAGCAGAAATTAAAACTCAATGGAAGATTAGGAAAATAAAACTGAAAGGTAGAATGACAACTTAAAAAGTTGTAAAATAGATGCTATCAGTTGGGAAAGCAGGAGATAATCTAACATAGATAGTTCAGGAAATATTGGTAAAGGGGATACTAACAATCTTGTCAGCAATGTAAAGGAACCTACATGGAGCTGAGGTATCAAAGTCTAGCAACAGTGGGAAGCTGAACCTGACGGGGGCAAACAACCTCCAGAAGAAATTGAGGGACTACAGATGTGTTTGTATATCCAGAGAAGAGGTTTTCAGTTCAGAGAGTTTGAGGATGAGTGTCTGATCAGTTTAGAGAAAGTAGGGGCAAGAAAGGTAAGAATTGCAGGATGGAGAAATGTTATAAGAAAAAGGAAATGTAATCACAGTATACCTCATGGCTCAGGTATGATTTTCATTTTATCTAGAGGTAGTAATTGATATAATAATCCATCTAACAAAAAATGTAATGGGAAGATGAGGGGAAAACAAGTGTATACGTGTGTGTTGGGGGGGTCAAGGTGGTAAAGAGCTAAATATTTCATTGTTTGTAAAGTCAATAGACATTATTTACATTAAGAAATATTGGAATAAGCATAATAAAAATAATCAGATAGAGTAGGACGGGGACTCTCTGTGTTGGTAGAGACACAAAGGTGAGGACGACATATCTCTCATCAGAAGCTCATAGATATGAACAAATAAAATATCCATAGAAAGTGACTATTATGGAGAAACGTGCAGGTCCTTGTGGAGCTGATGGGGGAAGCACTGCTCTGCATTTTGTCTTCTGCACTAATACACACAAATGGTCTTTTTACCAGCCATTCATTGAAAGAACAATCTGAGAAAAAAATGATTACCCACATGCACACACAGTACATTTACACTAAGCAAATCAGTTATTTTCAATGTTCTGTTTTATTCTATAAAAATACTCGCTCCCGTCTATTCCTAACACAAAATAATTGATTACCATTAGATTAATTTTTGTTTAGCTATAACTTCCGGTTCTGAGGATTCTAACAATTGAATTTTCTCTTCTCTTTGATGTTAACACCTTTGCATTTAAGTGACCTTGAGACAAAGAGTATCCACCGCTGGAATAGGAGACCCATATATTTAATATATTACCGGGGATATGAGACTTCCTATACCATCCAAAGTGTTTTCACATTTGGCAATATGTAAATCCCAAGTTAAAATGACAACCAGTGCGTCTAATATATTGGGCTTTAAAATAAATGACTGGAGGTCGTGGAAATTCCCACTTGTAGACCAGAGAGAGTGAGGAACTTCCTCTGCTTTCTGGTGTTCCCTGTGCCACCAGTGCTGCCTTTTCACAGCCATCATCAGTTTCCCGATGGTCACTGGTCACTTTAAAGTCCAAGGCTGCAATCTTAAGTTCCTAAAGAAATATTATTCTTCACATTCTACAACAAGGTTTTCCAATTAAGTTTTAGATATCATTCCAAATAAAAAAAACTACATTATATTTAGTATTTCCCGTTCAGAAATTGACAGTCTATTTTTACAACAAAGAAATCATAAAATAACAATCATACCCATTTATAAATTTCAAACAATAATAGATATTAAAATTCTATAGCTCCAGAGTAAACTGAAAGTAATCACACAATTTTTATTAACTAGGCACATTTTGGCTGCTTTGGAAAGTCTGAAGTCTGCTGACAGTTCAATTAAAATTCCTTTGTATTTTTTTTTATTATTTATTTTTGGAGGAAGATTAGCCCTGATCTAATATCTGCTGCCAATCCCTGTCTGTTTGCTGAGGAAGATTGGCCCTGAGCTAACATCTGTGCCCATCTTCCTCTACTTTATGTGGGACCCCTGCCACAGCATGGCTTGACAAGGGGTGCATAGGTCTGTGCCTGGGATCCAAACCCAAGAACCCCGGGCTTCGGGCCGCCAAAGCAGAGTTCGAGAACTTAAGCACTACACCACCGGGCTGGGCCCAATTCCTTTTTATTTTTAAGGGAAAGAAATATGAATTCATCTACTCAGACCTCTTGACTCACCTAAAGGTTCTATAATTGTTCTCATCAATACTGGTAGGAAAATCCGTCTGATCAGGTTGGGGGTTCTGTGTTCTCCGGACGGGACAGCGGCAGAAACTTCCTGAGTTCTCCACGTCCAGTCAACTCCAAATGCGTCTGAACAGAACAAACCTTGCTGTTGCAACGCCTTTATATCAGGCTCCTTGAAGCCCCACCCACCC